TCTTTTCTCCTCGGTGAGTTGAGTCAGTGGCTTGGCGATGTCAGCAAACCCGGCAATGAATCTCCGATAGTAGGTGCATAGGCCGATGAAGCTCCTTAGCTCGTGCTTGTCCCTTGGCCTCGGCCACTCTCGCACAGCCTTCAGCTTTTCGGGATCGGTGGTCACCCCGCCGGGGGAAACCACATGTCCTAGACATTTCGCCTCCTTCTGGAGCATCCGACACTTTCCGGAGTTAAGCTTAAGTCCGGCTTCCCTGAGCCTCTGGAGCACTTCCCTCAGATTATCCAAGTGCTCCCGGAATGTCCGACCAATGACGATGACATCATCCAGGTAGACCAAGCAGGATTTGTGCGTCAGGCCCCGCAGGACGGACTCCATCAGCCGCTCGAACGTTGCCGGAGCGTTGCAAAGGCCGAATGGCATTACCGTGAATTGCCACAGCCCCTGTCCAGTAGAGAATGCAGTCTTCTCTTTATCCTCGGGATGCAGGGCCACCTGCCAGTAGCCACTCTTTAGGTCTAATGTCGAGAACCATTTGGCCCCTGCCAGTGTGTCTGGGGTATCGTCGATCCTGGGCAGTGGGAAGCAATCCTTCTTGGTGACGTTATTCAGCTTCCTGTAGTCAACGCAGAACCGCGGTTCCCCGTTCTTCTTTCGCACAAGCACGACGGGCGACGACCACGGGCTGTTTGATGCCTCGATCACACCTTGTTCCCCCATGTCCCTTAGCATACCGTCCACCTCTTCTTGTTTTGCTAATGGAAGTCTCCGAGGAGGCTGACGGATCGAACGAGCATCGCCTGTGCTGATGCGGTGAGGTCACTGCAGGTCCGGTGTCGATGGTCACATTACAGCGTCTTCCCCGAATCCAGCCTTCGGTGATCAGACCGTCGTCACTCCTCTTGGTGACCACGCTCAGTGTAAAGCGAGGGGAAGGGGGTGGTGGGGCCGACGGTCCCCTCCATACGCCGGCCATTACTCGTTTCCCGAGACCCGGTCGGTCCTCGCGAAAACCCTGCGGACACCCTCTCATCAGGTGGCCGGGGGCGCGCACTGCCAGCACACCGGTCGCCCCCATCCAGGACGTCTATCCTGAGGCGATCGCTCGTAGGTGAAGTGTGTTGTAGGAGGCTCGTCCTTAAAGTAAGTTTCCCTGGGGCCGTTTACAGAAACAAAACACAATTTCATGGAAATATTTATTGCAACAGATACAGCAAGTGTCCAGCTATTTTTCAACATATTCGCCACCGGAATTGAGACATTGGTCATACCGTGGGACCAACTTTTGAATACCTGTGTCGTAGAAGTCTGCCGCCTGGGATGGGAACCACTGTGTGACAACCATCTCCGCCTCTCTGTCATTCTCAAAACGCTGACGCTGACCGGACAGGAATTTCTTGAGGTGTAGGAAAAGATGGAAATCACTGGGAGCGAGATCCGGGCTGTAGGGTGAATGATTAAACACCTCCCAGCTAAACTCCTGCAGGAAATGCCTGCTGAGTTCCGTAATTGTGAAGCGACGATTATCCATAATGCGTTCCCGCACAAGCTCCACAAGGTCGTCTGTAATGATGGATGGCCTCCCTTTTTCATATTTGGGGGGGGGACCGAAGGAAATTACAGAGAACCACAGTCAACACAGGTGGTTTACAGGCCGAGAATTGAACCCAGAGCCTCGCGAACATGAAGCAGGTATGCCGTTACATTCGATACGAATTGAATATACGTTTCAACATTGAGTTAAAAAGGCCTGTGTAATGTACGAAATGCCACTATGAAGAATTGTCTTAGGTTAGACTTAACGTAGACTCTTGGCGTAATTTCCTCTCTCATAAAACATAAAGCTTACGATGTTGATGTCTGAGTGCGTCACCCCTGCTTTAAAGTTTTTAATCATAGTGTGACGTGTTGCGTTTGACATTGTTGTACTCGTTTATAGAGACATTGTTGTGTCTGGCATTGTTGTGTTTACATTGTTGCGTCTGTTGATTGACATTGTTGCATAGACCTTGTTGCGTTTATCGTTGTGTTTACATTGTTGCGTCTGTTGATTGGCATTGTTGCATAGACATTGTTGTATTCGTTTAAAAGCCGATTGACAATCGGCTTTGAGAGTAGTGTAGGAGGTGAGAGTGTGGAAAGGGAGTGCGAAGAGAGCTGAGCTGTGAATCGCTCGTAGGTGAAGTGTGTTGTAGAATAGATCATTTTGTGCTGTAAAAGACGTTTTAGTTTGATTAAATTCATTATTGCTGGAGGACATTGGTCTCTTACAATCCAACCAAGTATTCAGTCTGACGCTACGAGCGATTCACAGCTCAGCTCTCTTCGCACTCCCTTTCCACACTCTCACCTCCTACACTACTCTCAAAGCCGATTGTCAATCGGCTTTTAAACGAATACAACAATGTCTATGCAACAATGCCAATCAACAGACGCAACAATGTAAACACAACGATAAACGCAACAAGGTCTATGCAACAATGTCAATCAACAGACGCAACAATGTAAACACAACGATAAACGCAACAAGGTCTATGCAACAATGTCAATCAACAGACGCAACAATGTAAACACAACAATGCCAGACACAACAATGTCTCTATAAACGAGTACAACAATGTCAAACGCAACACGTCACACTATGATTAAAAACTTTAAAGCAGGGGTGACGCACTCAGACATCAACATCGTAAGCTTTATGTTTTATGAGAGAGGAAATTACGCCAAGAGTCTACGTTAAGTCTAACCTAAGACAATTCTTCATAGTGGCATTTCGTACATTACACAGGCCTTTTTAACTCAATGTTGAAACGTATATTCAATTCGTATCGAATGTAACGGCATACCTGCTTCATGTTCGCGAGGCTCTGGGTTCAATTCTCGGCCTGTAAACCACCTGTGTTGACTGTGGTTCTCTGTAATTTCCTTCGGTCCCCCCCCCAAATATGAATGCCTTGCTCCCACATTCTTTCCATTGCAGTGCTAATTCATCATCATCTCATTCGATGCTATTATAGCCTTAGTCCGAGTTCTTGACGGCGTCGTTGAACAAAAGTATTTGATTTTGTCCTCCTGAAATAGGTCTGTGGTTTACATTCCAGAACGACGTTTACCGCGTATCAGCTGGAAGAGCTGGAAAGGGCTTTCGAAAGGGCGCCATACCCAGACGTGTTTGCCAGAGAGGAGTTGGCACTCAAACTGAACTTAAGTGAGTCGCGAGTTCAGGTGTGGTTCCAGAACCGACGCGCCAAGTGGCGCAAAAGGGAACCACCAAGAAAAACCGGCTACATGACCACAGGTAAACAACGACTTAATCTTTTCCGTTCCAGCTGCCACCCGAGTTACGCCGTGCGGCCTGTTCGATTCATAATGGAACGTGAAACGATAAGAGTTATTTCTTGATACGAAAAAATGTTGTAATTTATTTCTTAGTCTTCCTGAGTTAATTCAGAATTAATTTATAACCTCCATCATCTTCTTCAACATTGGTCACATAGGCTACCAGCTCTACTAAAAAAACAAACATGAAAAAGAAAAGAGACGGAGAATTGGAACATGACAATTTTGTAAGACTTGTTAAACTCCATTAACCAAAAAATACATGTGACCCAGGTAACGCTTTGGACTGTGTAAACCACGAAATGTCGTTAACTAAATTAGGGGTAATGGAGGGGGGGGGAGGACTCGCGGCACCTTTGCTTCTGGAACATCGTTTACAAAAACTAAATGTTGAATCTTAGAGAGTTATTCATCATAAAAACAACACACGTAGAATCTTTAATTAATTTCTGCTCTACATGAGATTTTTGGAGAAAATTTTGCAAAAGCACATTTGGCGGAATTTCCATGATATAAGGGGGAATTCTGTCATGTGTCTGGGGTTATACCACTCTGTACAAACCCCATGAAGATAAGAACTATGATTTCAGTTAACACACGGAAATTATACGATAATTTTAAGTATATTAATGTGCTCATTTGGTTGCAACGAACTGTTGGAAGCATGTTGTATCCTAATAATTCAGGATAATTTAAAAGGATACGTACAGAGAAAAGAAAATTGTGACAGCTCTAATCACATGGGGAACACATAGAAAGTTTCCCAGATAAAATCAACTACAGATTCTGCTTAATAGATCATTAGCCGGGGCTGAAAGATGACACTGCCTGGTACTGGGGCAATGCCGCACCATAAAATGTCATTACCCCAGTCGTGGTTAACACAGACAACACATTATTTATTCCCGCCTGAACCAAATATGTTAGAAGGCTGCAGATTCAGAAGAATAGATTAAAATGTACTCGACGCCAGTGACTGAGACGAGCTCTTTCTGTGGGGCCCATACACCTGAAGAAGAAAACGGATCCTGTTTTCGAAACGTCGTGAACATTTTAATCTTGGACGATGGACAAAGTCCAAAAACCTGTCAAATAAAAAGATTTTATTACATGGTGGTGAAAGTACCCTGAGATGTCTTCGTGGAGGTTTATATTTTTTTTTATATGACATGTTTAGTCTTTGATTAGCAATGAATTAGCTAATCATTTGCAATAAAATAAACAGATCTTCATCGAAGGATTGGTTGATTACTGAAAGCTGTAAAAACTTCAAGACATAAATAAAGAACTTCATGGCACAGAGTAGTGGTTCTCAAACTGTGGTACCAGTACCCACTGGTATATCACAGATGCTTTCCAGGGATACCACAAACCCTCTTTCATATACATACTTCAATAGCATTAATTAAAAAAGAGCTTTGATCAATCCTGTGTCTGCAAACAATTTTGAAATTAATTAATTAGACTTTCAGCAAAGATGATTTACCTCAAAAGACATGAAATGTCCTCCCCTTCTGATATTAGTTCACACATTTTCCAAATTTAAAATTAATATAACCAAATTTCATTATGTACTTCTTCTTCTTCTATCAGCAATACAAATGTAGCTTGAGTATTTTCCAAGTTTATTTTGCATGGGGTACCAGAATTCTCTTTGACTTCATCAAGCGTGCCAGGCTTAAAACAACCCGTCATAGAGCCTTCCTATAGCAATTGGTAGTTCTTTAGCAGATCAAAAAATTACAAATAATTAACTGAGCAAAAATGTAATTAACAACAGAATTCCCTTAGGGTAGCTAATAAATATTTTGAAATTTTACAAAGTTCAAATATCTGGGAACAACAATATCAAATCAAAATGACACTCATGAGGAATTTAGGAGGAGATTGAATTCTGGAAATGCTTGCTACTTCTCAGTTCAAAATATTTTGTCTTCCCGTCTGATTTCTAAGAACCTGAAAATTAAAGTATACAAAACAATAATCTTGCCTGTTGTTTTGTATGGGTGCGAAACATGGTCTCTCACTCTGAGGGAGAAACACACATTGCAGGTGTTTGAGAATCGGGTGTTGAGGAGGATATTTGGGCCTAAGAGGGAAGACGATGGGACATGGAAAAAACTGCATAATGATGAGCTTAAAAATCTGTACTCCTCCCTAATATTTTCAAAGTGATTAAGTCGAGAAGAATGAGATGGGATGGGCATGTAGCGCGCATGGATAGGCCAAGATGTGTGCACTGGGTATTGGTTGGGAACCCTGAGGGGAAGAGACCGCTGGGGAGACCTAGATGTAGATGGGAGGATAATATCAGGTGGGATCTATGGGAGATAGGAGTCAAAGGAGACTGGATTTTGTTGGCCCAGGACAGGGTCCGGTGGAGGGCTTTGGTTAATTCGGTGATGAACCTTCGGGTTCCATAAGGCATCTAGTTAGTTAGTTAATACTAAAAATAACTGAAATAAGAGTGTTTTCAACATTTAGGCCAGGAGAATGTTAAGTTGATGCAAGATCATGTTGGTACTGTTTCTGTTTCAGGATCACCAAGTTCTACACTTGGATCAACATTCAGTGCTCTGAACAACACAATGAGTCCATTTACAAGCCCATCTCCTTCTACAACATCAACACCTGATTCATGGGCTTACTCCTCAGCATACGATCTCTCACCGCACTTGAACTTGCTCTCCCCCTCAAATTCCCCATATTCCACATCCTTCTCACCAGCAAACAGCACTGCCGCGTATACTTCAGCATACGCCACCATGCTTCCGCAGCACGACTCGACCACATCCGCAGCAACTCTGTTCCCTGGTGGCTCTATGCGTACACATCAGGATTACGTTGTTGCATCAGGCAATAACAGTCCACCAAGTTCCTTGCAAACCCATGCAGATTATCATGTTTCAACACCTGGAAGCAACAGTCCATCTATGAGGACACACCAAGACTACGCGACAGGCAATACAAACAGTCCGCCCAGCGTCCTGCGGACACATCAGGACTATGCGGTGGCAGGAACTGGTAACACCAGTCCACCAAATTCGTTACGTTCCCACCAAGATTATGTGACTAATACTCACAGCCCTCCAGCAGCGATACGAGAATATCAGACCATCGTCTCTGCGCAGCAGTCACCCGGCCATCAACAGCATTTGGGGCCACGAGGGGCTGCTCAGGCCAGCAAGACTATGGACTACATTGATGTTGGAAATATGAGCCCACAGAAGTACCAGGATGACATGCAAGATGGATTTAACGTAGGTGCACCAAATGGTAACAATCCTAGTAATGGAGGAAACAAAGAGATTAAGGCAGAAAATAATCAGAATTTTGTGACTCTTCCACCATTCCTTGGCTGACTAAAGGCAAACATTAGTGCTGGGCAGTCGGTACATGACATTCTTTTCATATAGGAAAGTAAAGGCAACTAGGTCAGTAACCTGTCCTTCAGCTACACTGATGGGACGAAACTAATCCATAATGACTTCAGAAAACTTTCACTGCTAAGATTTTACAAATTTTTGTAATGAGCAAGGACAATTTTGCAAACGGGTCATTCCATGTCAAAAAGAAAACCGCTGTCAACCATGCAGTTACCAGGTAGGATTTGATTCTCATGGCAGTGAGGATAAAGATGTCTGTCTCAAGGTAAAACTTAAACCAGACTATATGGCACTATATCCCAAAAGACAGCCATCTTAATGTAGTAGGCAATTTTTATGATTTTCATTTTACAAGTAGATATCCATTAAATAAAAGTTTCAGTTTCCTCTTGTGATTAAATCTGTAGATATTACTTAATTAAATTTTAAGTTTTTAGGATGAAGCAAGACTTTTTTTTGTAAATATCTCCATTTTTTTAAAAAGTTATAAATAAATTTTGCATCTTGTAGTACTTTTCCTCAAGGAATTAGGGACTTAACTGGCTGGCTGAACTGCAACATCAGTTAAACCTGTGATTCTCACTTTGGTACCCATCTGATGATAAGAAATATCTTAACCTGCAAAATGTTAATTGGCACAAACTTATGGAGGCTTCATGTACCAGGAACAGTTTTATCATATTGTAGACTATTTGTCAGTCTTAAAACACGTGCCTTGATTTCTTTCTGTGTTAAAAAGAATGTAATTCCTGTAATATTTTCATTGGCCCATATCTGTTGCTAAAATGTAATTTGTCAGCTGCCTGAAGACTAGCATGTGTTACAAGCCCACCAATCCTGTCTCAAGGACTTTTCCATGCAAAGAAGCAAACAAATTCCACTCTGCAGCTATGTGAAAATCTTTTTCATAACATATTTTCAAGAAAATAGCCTAATGCAGGGAATTGTTTAAGAAATGTTATATTCTTCTACTAGCCAGCAAATTCTTGATCTCATTATAATTTGTAGTGGAAAAATGTCAAACAAACTCAGATATCCACAGTATAAGTACAATATACAGATATAACCTTTATATGCCAAACACTAAACTTAGTAAATTTCAGAAAGGAGTTAACTATACTGGAATTAAGCTATTCAACAATTTTCCTGCCACTGTAAATGTCTGAATCACAAAATAAAGAAGTTTAAACCAGCACTAAAAGAGTAACTCATATCTCACTCCTACTCCATAGAAGAATGTGCCACAACTAAAAATTCTCAGTTATGAAAACAATAACAGACATGCTTTCTTGTGTAATTACTTTTGTGGTAATACTGCAGTTGACTGTAAATTACTGTCATAATTATATAATTATTATTTGTATTAGAAATAATTATTTAATTTGTGCTATGACATGTTCTACATCCTTGACATAGGCCTATGAGGGTTCCATAAATAAATTTTATTCTATTCTAATCCAAAAGCACAAGACTCATTATGAGTAGGCCTATAAATGTCTTCCATTTTCCAAAAGGCACTCACAGAATAATAGTATTTGAGACAAACTGCTGCTGAACACCAAATTTTGTATTTTTGAATTATTAAATATGGATGTTTTACACATTTGTGAAAAAATGGCCTGCCATGTCCTAAGAACTGTCTAATTTAATTCTAGGGATTTAGTCACTATAGAAAACAGAAACTGTGAAAATTTTACTTCGTGGATATCTACTCGTAAAATAAATAAATAAATATCATGAAAATTTATGATGCTGTGGTTGACAATTTTTTTCATTTGGTGTGGAATGAACCAAATGTATTGTAAAGGAAAAGTAAGGTTTTAGAGACCTGAACATAATTATGAATTCTGGAAGACTAGGTCTGTGCACGTTTGCTTGCACCTATATTGTCTGACACATTTTCTTCTTATCTGGTACTATTGTGTTTGTATTCTTCATGAATATTAATGAGAATATATGTAGTAACATCACAATCAGAAGCACTTGACATGAAGAGCGAAACAAAATTGCTAGTTTTCTTGGAAATGGCTATTAAAATGATTTTGCTTTGCTACATGATTGGTCTAAATATTACACAGTCAAATTCACCTCCCCTCCCCAAACAAAATACTGTATTGTGTCCAGCAGCTTCTTTTATACACAAAACAGTTACATAAAACAAAAATTGGGCAATAAGCTTTGTATCAATTATTTGCTTATCACAGGTTCACAACCATTAGGAAGATGGCTGTGTTCTGGGTTATAGCACCACGCAATCTGGTAAAAGTTTAACCTCAAATCCTACACGAACAATTAGTTTCATCAAATACAACTCACTTCAGTAATAGAGATGAAATACAGAGGGAATGAAAAGTAACATAACCCATTCCTGACACACATTGTTTGTCAAAAAATAAATTACAATGCTATCAGACAAAAAAAATGTTATATCAAACTTTGGAGAAGTCCACTGCATTTAGAAATGCATGCATTTACTCTGTTCCTCATGTATGACATCTCAGCAAAGAGATCGTTTGTCACAGAGAGGGATCACCAAGCAAGATATTGTAACAGGATTTGAGACTTTCGCGGTGAATACAATCAATAAAATCTTCTTGGGCAATCAGCCGCATTAACTGGTTATCGTAGTAAACCGAAGTTTCGGAAACAAACCCTGTCCCCTTCATCAGCATTCTGATGCGACTTCTGAGGATCCAGTCACATCAGAACTCTGATGATGGTGACAGAGTTTGTTTCCGAAACGTCGGTTTACTACGGTAACCAGTTAATGCGGCTGATTGCCTTTGAAGATTTTATTGAAGATACTGTCAATTTGTTTGGTACAGAAAAATCACGAAATGTATCCCTAAACTCATTCTGTCAAGTTAAGTAAGAACAAGATGTCATGCAGTGTTTGACAATGAACACTCTTCACACTTGTGAAAAAAACATCCTTGCACTTTGGCTGTTGAAAGACAACTGACAAAATGACATGAGCAGATTACAACATACATAACCTGCATGGCCTGCTGTACAGTCACAGTGATGTGTGTTTATTAATCCATTCAAATTATATTGAATTGCAGCGAACAATAAATATTTTTATATGGGTTGTGTGACTTGCCGATCACTTGTACATTTAAAATGAAAGATAAACATAAACACACTAATTTCTTTATTTAGCCTGGTATCTTTTCAGTCTTTTGACAAGCTTTTCCTTCGGGATTTATGTAACAAGTATGCTGCAGTGGATCTTAAAATTATTTTACCTTGTGTTCAATTAAATATTCACCATATAAAACATGCTTAAAATAAACATTTTAATCTTAATGAGATATTTTATGACCAGTATAAACATTTTTGTACATGATGAGCCACATGATAAAAATAAAAAAATAAAGGATTATTTCAGTAGTGCATATAAAAAAATCACCTGAAAACTTTCAGTTTAGACCTCAAATACCAAATTTAATTCAAATCTATCGAGTGGTTTGGAAATTAAATATGCACGTTGGTAGATATGAACTTCCAATTGTGGGTTTCCTTTATGCATTTTGTGCAAAAGACAGATGAAAACATTCATGTTTTTTAATACACAGACATGGCCAATGGGGCATAGTAGTAGAAAGATAGTGATGATTAAATTCTTCAGGTCTGAATGCAGTAATAAAAGGATATTAAAGAATCACAATTTGCAGCCAGTCACTATGAATGCAACAGCACACAACTTGCAAGTGCTTTTGTTGGTTTTATAGATGTTCTAGTACACATTACAAATTTTCTGTGTTGGTAAACCTTATAATCCTAATTACTTTATATGGCAAATCTTGGGTGGAGACCTAGTAGGGTGCACATTCATTCTATCCATTCTGTCTGACTATGGAAGAAGTACAACACACAAATTTAGAAACTGAAATTGCGCTGATGAATCTTGTAATACACTCTTCCTTGCTGTTAATATCATGAACAGTTATTAAAATTTAGCTTTGCTCTTGATATTTCAAAGTTCTTACTCATTTATCCTCCTCCAGCATTGTCATATACCACACATCAGCTACAAGTCAGTCCTGCTGACATTTTCCAGCTCATCTTACACCACTGGTTGCCAAGTCATGCAGTGGGCCTTTAAAAATAGTCCACAAGGAATTTAGTAGTTACGACATTTGACCTTACTTTTGGTAAAATGAAAAAGACCGCCGGCGAGAACTCCTTGATTTTTAATCACATTCCCTGCAGGAATTATCTCCCCTCTACCCAGCACTAATGTGAGAAGTTAAGAAAGGTTTGTTTGGTATAGGTGCTCTATACTGATAGAAATGTAATATGTTGTGCATACATACATTCATTATGCCAAGTGAAATGAAAAACTTTAGAGTTTCTGTGATGCAATACTTATATAAAATCCAAATGCCTGTTCTTCTGTGGTGTACAGGAAGGGGAAGAGTCAGTGGACATATGAGGCCGACCTACTATCGAGGGGAAATGCATTTTTAATTTGTCAGAATATATACTAAAGCACTCCTTTGAGTGGTTAGCAGATTTGAGTATTTAAGATTGATGGAGTCCTGATTCAAGACACAATGTAAACTGTGTAGTAACTTTGATGTTCTGAGATAAGTCTCAATACAGAAGCAGATAACTGAAACTGAACTGCTGTTTACAAGGTAATACATGGTATATGCAGAATTCTTTCCCGAACTACAACGTGGAACACTACTGGATTCTGAAAGCATGAACAGAACTCCAAATACAAACCAGGACACATCTCAACAGGGTGTTTTATTGGTACTGTACGTAAAAAGAGCAATGGTAAAATGTAGAGCCACACAGTTTACCTTGTATTACTAAGCGGACATTTGTGCTGCCTAGTCTTGTTGAAACGGTGTAAAAGAGCAAGATCTTATTGTTTACACGAACCATCAAAAAAATCCAAAATTCTATTTTTGCAGCAATATTCATTGCCACTCATTTCAATTATTTTAGAATTTAGGCTCAGCATTAAAACATTTAAGAACTTCCTTTTTCAATTTACTTATCCAATACTCTTCGAAACTTGCTTCCATCATTCAACACTCATAAATGCTCAAATGTAAACTGCCAATCTTGACCTTAGGATTGAAAACATTGTTTTCTTCATGAGGTTTAAGTTTTCACAGTGATTAAAATATAGACTGTGAAAATATGGATTGTGTTCTGGGTTATAATGCTATGTAGTTTTTTAAATGGTTACTAAAGTCTGGAAGGAACAGCCTCCAACTTCAAGTAGAAAGATGGAAGTAATATGTTCCCCTAAAATGTTACTAATTATCTACAAGATTACACAATGTCATTGCTCAGAAGACCATAATCCTGAAGTCATGTAATAATGTTTGTTGGAGAATTAACAAACGTCTTCAAGCAACATTGTTCCTTTACACAGTGAATCAGTGTGTTATTTGGGTACATACATGTGTTCACAAATATGTACGTATGCACAACTAATTCAAAGTTTAAGGTTAAAATGCCTAAACAACATAATGTATAGCTCTTAGTAACTCTATTCATACTTTAGTTAACACAATGTGTTATTTAAGAAACTTTTATGTATATTTTTGCAGTTGCCTTTGTGCATGACTTCCAACCAACCATACCTAATTCTTAACTGCAAAATTGTAGTTACTTGGTTGGGTGACACCGTTCTTCTTGACCGAGGGGTGTCCAGTTTGAATCTTGGCTGACTTCCTTTTATTTTAATGTTTAGGCCTTGCACCAACTGATTTTAAGTGTAATGATTACTTGTATGAATTTACGGGGAAATTTTAATCCCACACTGCATTCATGTGCCTTAATAATTTGTAGTAGAGTATACTGAAACAGTACTTTAAGTCTGGACATATTATGTATTTTTATGTGTGTTTTAAGTGTGAAGTATGTATATCATTTATCAATGGAAAATATGCTGTGAATTTGGGATTTAACATGCCTTCCATAATTTGTTTCTCACAGTAAAGATATTTTTGTAACAATAATGTGTATTGTGGTATCCTATTCTGACTATAAATGAAGTGTTTCAGTGTGTGTGCGCGCGCGTGAATTTTTTTTTTACAATTCTGTAGTAATTATACACACAATGATAGTGTTTCAGTAATTTTATATTACCCCATAGGAAAAGCAATATGTATCTTATGCAAGAAAATATAAATAACTGATCTTTCAGCTCATTTTCTGTACTCAAAAAGTCGATAGTTATTTATGCGACCAAGAAACTACCTGTTTTATTGAATCAGACTGCTCATTCACCACTCGTTCACAAGCGCCTGCCAATGCATCCTGTCAAGAGGCAGTTGAATACCTTAACCCAATCCACATCCTATTTTTCTGTCCTTCAAATTTTGTGTCCCAAGTGGTCAATTGTTTCAAGATTACCTAATAAAAATTTTGTATGCACTTCACAACTCCGTGAGTGCTGAATAAACTGCAGCATTATGTACGAAACATAATTATATGACTGTCCACTGAATTTGTGTTCACATGTGCACTGTCATCACTGAACATTTTGGTTTAGAGATTAGGGCTCCTGATTTATATTGAGGGGTCCCATGTTCAATTCTTGGCCCAAGGATTAAACATCTTGACTAAGAGTTTTCATAGTTTTCCTTAGTCATTCCAGGCAAATTCTGGGATATACCTTAAATCATGCCACAACCATTTCCTTCCATATCCTTTCCAAATCATTACTCATATATCATCCTATGAACGGACAAATAATATGTACACCACAATCACTGTCCAAGAGTTTTTGAACAAAAAATTTATATTGAAATCTGACCATTGACCATATTAGCCAGATTTGGCCCCGTGCTACTTTTGGCTATTCTTAAAACTGAAGAATGCTTTGAAGGGCCACAGATTTTCAGACATTGCCAACATTCATAGACATTCAGCAAGCATCCTGAAGAGAAATTCCAGAAATGTTATAAGCACTGGAGACTTCTTTGAAGGTGCAACAACTGTTAGTGTGTAAGTAATTAAATATAGCTTTTACACGAGCATTCTGGGAACTTAATTGTCGCACCTCATCTTACAATATAACAAAATATTATACATGTAAATAGTAACAACAATGTAGACTTGATCAGAATTGGACTATTATGGAAGTTAAAAAGCAGAACACATTTAAGACTGAGATTCTGATGATAATACCAGAATACTGATGAGTGTTGCAAACAGTACAAATTATAATAATGTCATCAAAATGGGTTGTAAGTGGCATTATCTGATAAAGGGAAAATAGCCTGAAACATGTCATAAGAAAAACGACATGAAATAAATAACACACATCAGTGTTTTACCTATTCATAAATTACTGTGTAAAGACTGAGGACAATATAGAAATACAAAAGACATCTTTCAAAATTCACAATAATCAGTTTTACATGTTTTCTGTAAATATATTTGTAAACTTGTTCTATGAAAAGTTCATGCTATAAATAAAAATATAGCCATCCTTTAATTTTGTATGCATTACAAGTTAACTTATTTTAATCTTGGTTCATTTAAGGATGATTTCATTTGTTGCCATTATACAGCACAGACATATACATTGTCACAGCATGACTCAGGCAAACTGCAAGAACCATATAACTAAATTTTAAACACAGTTCTAGGGTTTATGCCAAACAGTAGTCAAGATGGTTATACATAAGACCGATGTAACATCAGTAAAAAGTACCACCACAGCTACACAAATTTCTGAGACATGGCTGAAGTACAAACCCTGATTTTTCCAAAACACGCTATTAGTTGCGAGGTTCTCGCACCAAGAAACAGAACTATGGTATGACTAATCTACATGTATACTCACACAAAATGTCATATTTGACCAGCTATGTCTAGTAATGTTTTAGTATCTCACAATTATCCACTGTCTGAGACATATTTAATAATTAGTGTTTATTACAATGTATACAATACAGTACAGGGTGTAACTTAAAGATTTTGAACAAATTTAAGGGCAAATTCTATGCACAAAAACAAAGTTTGCATAAACACAGATACAAGAAATCTCTTTTGCAAGTACAGTCATCTTTTTCTTTGAGAAATTTCTGGTACTGCCTTGCCTGCTACATTTGAAGCAGAAAGTTCTTCTTAGCCAGTGCTCAGAATGTTGTCTATAAGCTCCTGGTCTCCACACTGTTGACAAGTCCACGCCCACAAAGAAACGCATGTCTGCCATGCTCTGGAGTAAATAAACAAACATTTTCAAGAAACACTCAGCACAAACTAATTTAATTATCAACACTGATACAGTTACACTATTTAAACAGTGTTTATCGTCCATCATTTTTATACTGCCTTTGGACAACATTAATAAAACAAATTAAATGTAGAGGGAATAAATATGAAATATGGATTCTGTAAACAATATAAATGGCAGCACTGATTAATATTGGTAGTGCTGTTGATGCAGATGTACACTGGTGAAAGTTGATCTGCCTGTATTGTGTGACCCTGGCACTCTGTTGCCACTGCTGCCTGGCATCACCGTAACCAAGTGTGCTCAGAGAGAAAGGAACATAAGTATCATACTGATTACATATTTTGGAAAAGAAAAGAGGGTTGTAATCAGAAGGAGGCTCTTCTGAATCTATGTTCACATGAACTTCCATCATTATTTTGGTATGCACAACTCAACCTTACATCTGTCCCAGAACTTTAAGTTACACTCTGCATATGAAATATATCAGACACTGGACAATTTCTGACTTAACTGGAGTGTAATGTCTATTAAGCAAACATTAACAACCTATGTACCAGGTGCAGATGTAACAGCAGGAACAATAGTATCAGCCCAAATTCCATCACCAGTGAAGTGAAAATTACGCTCAATGAAATACAAACATAGAGCCAAATGTTGCTCTGGTAGTAAGTGATGTCCTGCTTCACCATTGAGCGGGTCTTCATACGCTGGGCAACCAAAATTTAATTCCGGGTGCGAAGAAAAACCATCCAATTCTTTTTCCAACTGTTTTCTATAAGATAAAACAAAATTATTACAACCTCACTGTCTAATTTTGAAGGAAAAAATTTCATGGCATACAAATTTATTAATTACAATATCCCATCGCTCTATACAAACCATTATATTTTATTTCATTTTTACACTATGTACATTTCACCTATAAACCAATGTTGGATCCAACACCTTGCATCCCAAAATCTGGAAAAATTTAAAATCTGTAATTTTTATGATGGCATTTTCCTACGCTTATAATGTTTAAAACTGGTGCTTTATGGTTCTTCAACTCATCACCATGTGTGAATGACACCATTGTAAATTGTCTTCTTCTGCTGGAAGCCAGGTTGCTTGTTTTAACTTGTTTAGTCAGCGGATGATATAAGTTGTGGGCTATTACACGTTTTTTTACATGTTGAAGATGATAGCACCCCAGATTTTAGAGATTTTTCTACTTCTTATGAAAAACAAATTGTGAATTGTAGATAAAGCATACCTCAACAAAACATTCTCATTATTTATTTTGTCTTTATTACAATTCATCTGCATAATGATTCAAAATTCAGAAAATGTAAAAAGCCTTAGGCTCCAAGATTTATAGATAAGTAATTTGATACTGTAAATAGTGCCTTCAGTAAGACAATTCTTGCACATCATCATTACTGTCTGTGCATCACTGCATTTTCTACATTCCATTATTTTACTATAGAATGACCTTGGATATAAAATAATCAAAGGATTTAACCCTTTTACACAGTACCCATGAACAGTTTTGTATTTACTTCAATTTATAATAATTTCACTGGAATAAAAAGCAGGCAACCAAACATGGTTTCCTCCATAATTTAACTGAGTTTCTTGTTAAATTTTTGAGGTACTTTATTTTTACTGTATATTCTTTATAAAATATATATACAATTTTAATATAAATGTATGAATAAAACTTCTTGTCATGTACCTCAAGCGAATGAAAACACTGGCATTTGTCTTAGCAGTCATAAGCAATGTGCTCTCATGCGGAGCCACCCATATTTAACCACTCCGATCATTCTCTCTTTTGCAAGAACATATCTAAAATAAATGCACACAAAGAGGACAAACTAAAATGTACCACAAGTTCAATATATTTTAACTGTGATGTCTAAGTAACCCTTACACAACAGAATTTTTATGTAATTCCTATGAATGAAAGTAATACAATCATTCAGGCATACCGACTATACTTTTGCTAGATATTATATTCCAAACTGTGTAACCCAGCATTTGAGTGTTTGATGAAAATGTTTAATACAAACAACACACCAGATCACAGTGCTTACCCCTGGAAGTTATCAGTGTGGTTCTCAATATCTATGCATCATTCACACCCATTAAATCTGTCCAATAAATAGACCAAAAGAGGTGACAGTGTCCTGTCAGTCAAATTTCTTTTCTAGAAGACATAATAAAACTGTCAAAGAAGGATATGATGCAATTATCCCTGAACGCTTTACTATTTCACAAAAGCTTTATCTCTAAAGAGAAGGCTTTTATAATTTATTTTTGTCTTACACAAATACAGGAAACAACAGAGCTTAAGGTAAATTCCTATGCCTTGAGACCTGGTATTACTGGTTTACTGGGAAAGATTGAAGATACAACTGTTTTACAGATGGAGGACAGTATTTATATCCAAGTAAGTGCTCAAAGAAAGAAGATGAAGTTCCAGGAATTAAAACGAGAAGCTGAGAATAGGGAAAACTGGAGAGCTCTTTTTGGGAAGAGCAATGGACCTGTCGTAAGACAGAACACTGAATAATAATAATAAGTGCTGTTACTGGAAAGGGTTAGGCTAAAAAAATGTAATATTATTACTCCCCCTAATGTAAATTTTAGACATAATTCTCTGGTGCAAACATAACCATTCCTCCATATTTTCATAACAATCCATTCATTCCATGTCCACAGAATGGTTTTCTGGAACACCTTTGTCTTTCCACCATTCCAGAAACTTAACCCCAGAAATGCTGAATTTCCTGATGGCACCCTATTAAGTGTCCCTGCAATGTGCCTGATAACCATTAATTTTAAAGTGACATCACCTGCAGTTCATGTAAATGAAGGTATCAACAGTATTCCATTCTTCCACACTTCAAAACACAATTCTTGGAACAAGTAACACCAACACCAAGCCCATATAAATGTATAATATTAGCACTAATACCATATGGCATATATTAAACATGTTCTCCACAATCCTAACAAAGGATTAATGCACACCCACAAACTAAGCAGAATGTGACAACCATGCCACATTTTAAAATTTACATAACAATTCAATTGTAGGAAGGAGGCTAAGGAGGCTGTTGCATGGAAGTACCACCATCAGCAAGAAAAGGTGATAACTGGGCACTGTGTACCTGAAGGTCCTTGTTTATCTATGGGAGGCAACTGACTTGAATAGTACAAAAAGAACATCAGTGCTAATACAATGGCACTGTGAATCTGCTCCACCCACTGCACTCTTCAACTCTTTCCGCAGGCAAAGGGATATCACATCAAGGGTACACCAGAGGTTCAAGTTACTTTGAACTGTGTTGTAGAGAGTGAATGCTGACTGAAGTGTTGCTAAAGGACAGCATTTTGAAGTCTGAAGGTAACAATGTCCAGCAGTTTCTTAATGTAGCAGGATTCAAGAAACAACTCCTGCTCCGTATAATTTTATGCACAACATAACACAAAAATCATTTGTTATCAACCGCTATACAGGTAACCCTCGATTTACGCCCGGAATGCGTTCCTGGACGAACTAGCGTAAATGGAATTGGCGTGAATTGAAACTCTTTTTATAATGTAAATCAATGGGAAGTCAATGACATGCGTTCCCGGCACCCAAACATTGACGAGTAATATAATATAATGCCCCACACTCCATTCAACAATTCACTGATATTTGCTCCCACGCTGCATTGATGTTATTAATGCCCCTCAAAATGTTGAATGAGCACCAATAATCCTTTACGGTTTTGTCTGATCTTCCCAAAACTCTCAGCATTTCTCTTAAGGTGTTGTGGAGATAATAGGCTTTAAAGGTCGCTATTACACCTTGGTCCATTGGTTGCAAAGCTGAAGTGGTGTTAGGAGGCAGGAAAATTATGTTGACATCCAGAGGAGTTCTGACTTCTGCTAGGTTTGTCGGATGGCCAGGGGCATTGTCCAAGAGAAGAAGGGCCTTGGTTGGCAAGTCATTCTCATGACCAAAACGGAGCACAGCTGGGCAAAAATAGTTGATGTACCAATCCAAGAAAACTTGTTGTGTCACCCAAGCCATTCTATTTGACTTCCAGTAGACTGGCAACCTGGCTTTGTTGAGGCCTTTGAAAGCGTGAGGTGTCTCTGAATGGTACACCAAAATTGGCTTTAATTTTAAAGTGCCAGAGACATTGGCACCCATCAAAAGCGTTACCCTGTCTTATTCAGCGGTGAAACCTGACGCAGACTTCTCTTCACGGGCGATGAAAGTTTGTGAAGGCAGTTTCTTCCAATACAGGCCTGTCTCATCAACATTAAAAATAAGATTAGGAGGATAATCACCCTCCTCCACAATGACCTGAAACTCTGCAGGATACGCTGCAGCTGCCTCTGCATCTGCACTTAATGCTTCGCCACTTATTTTCACACTGTGACATTTAGTGCGAAATTTGAATCGCAAAAACCAGCCCTTGCTTCCTAAGAATGTCTCTTTATTACCCTCTTTTATCTTAAGTTCCTCAAAAATTGACTTCGTTTATCCGTGATAGCAATTTGAGTCAAGGGAATGTTTTTTTTGATTCATGTTATCCACCCATATCGACAGTAATTTCTCCATTCTTCTAAAAGTTTACTTCTGCTATAACTCACTTGAGTTGCACTTACTCTCGTAGCCTTTTGCATTGACTGTTTTATTTTATATGAATTTTTCATTATGGTAGTCACAATGGAAGGAGGCAACTTCAAACTTCTGCACACATTACGACGGGTATCACCACCTTCTATTCTACGAATTACGTCCATCTTATCTTCTAACGCAATAAACCTACACAACTTTTTTAGCAACACATTCACTTCTCTTACCAGACAGTGGCTCTTCTACAATTTATAAATATAAAACAGTTGCTACTGCAGAATAGTGGTCGAACAACAACACAAACACGTTTAGCGCACAGTTTTCAGCATATTCAGTGTGTCAACTAGAAGCGAACTGAGCGCATTTTTCCTTACTCCCTTATCAGGCTGAATGCAAATGACTCACCATGAAGAGTGACCAATGCTCACATGACTGTTGCGCAATGTTGGCGGATTTTTAGGAGATTATCACGCAACTACTTAGCAATGTGTGCAGGGGTGACTGTATTTATAAGTTTTATTCAAAACCAGCGATGTTAGAATTACGATTTATTATAAGAATCAGTACAAGAAAGATTGTAAAATGTTATAAATAATAGTAAAATACTTTTTTTTTCACTTTTTGACTTGGTGGTTTCAAAAGCGGCGTTATTCTGAATCAGCGCAAATCGAGGGTTACCTGCATATAAATCCATGTTAGGTGGGTCCCTGTCACCACAGCATGGTACGTCCTCAGGTTGTGAATGGAGGAACAGCCTCCAGTTATGGAGGTTAGCTGCATATATATAAGCAATCAGGGACAGCTAACAAGGGGTGGCCTTCCAGCTTGGGGGTTGGGCATGAGGCTAACAACATCTCACTGTAAAAAACTGTATTATTATGAAAAATTATACCAAGCCTTGGAACCAGATGGACTCTTTGGCACGACCAAGGCAAATTAAAAAAGATTTGCAATTGGATTTTGTTGGCCTAGGACAGGGACAGGTGGAGGGCTTTGGTTAATTTGGTGATAAACCTTCACATTCCCTAAGTCATCTAGTTAGTTAGTTATATATGAATGTATGAAAGTAGCCAAGGGCCTAGAAACACTGGTGAGGCTTGTACTAAACAACATCTATGCATGCATGCTTTCATTACTGACCTGGAGTACAGAAGAACATGGATATTGAGCAAG